GTATGTTGAGCATCAAATGAATAACTGATATTGTCGAAAGTATATATCAGGCGGTTGGTGCATAGTACTGACCATTCCAGACTTCTACTTTTGCTTGTTTCTATAACCTACAAGGGCAGTGGCTATGCTAATTTAATTTTTAGTTTTTTTTTTATTCATTAACTTTAATAACAAGAAAGAAATTGTTTAAATGAATAAATAACAGTCGATGGAAAGTAATTATAGCTTTTGATATTAGCTGTCACTTATTTTTGTTTGATGACATAAAACGATTTTCTTTTAATCGGTGATTGAAAATTGGACAAAAGAAGTTTATCATCAAGTAAGGTGCCATTATCTTGATCTAAATAATGATGGAGACAGATTACGTATTTCAATGGCACTTCATGAATTATCAAATGTTCTGTGGTCGGTACATCTCATTTATTATCAAATTTTTTAGTGCATCCTACTTCCTCATCGGTAGATTGATCAAAGTCCACCACCGTCACAGTTTATTCAATCAATAATGTTGTTTCCGTCGATGTTTTCCATATAGAAACAGTTCACATTAACTCAGCCAGTGTTGCAACATCTTGTTCTTCACTGAATCTTGTTATCGATTCATTTTGATTACGATTATCCTACACACGTGTCATATTATGCTTAAATGATTCTCTGCTCTTAGCGGCTTGAACACTCGACTACGGATGGTTTTATTGGTGTCAGGTTTCTGTAATTTCAATAACACTGCCCAGAATCGTAACATCTTTCCAAAAGCCTGTCAACCTTAATTCACCGTATCAGAATAACCTTAACAATCGTGGAGCGTAGTTTTACTTATTTTAAAAAACATATTTTACATTTATGTGACCGCTGATAATCCACATAAGAGTTAAACAGTCTGCATATTCTCGGAAGCTGAATGTATTATTTATTTTTATGTTGCTTTAAAAATAGAGGTGTGCATACTTTCTTGTGATACACCTATAGATATATTCAATTACAGAAGTGGAATTGGATCAAAGGATGAAATTAAGATTGTAATAGGATATTGTGAAACTTACAGACTTTGACACTTCAGATGACAATGCATCTGTTTACATCAAGATAGCGTAAAGATAACAGCGGAAATGGTCTCATTAAACTAGATATGAAAGAATTAAGATACTAATTGCTACACGAGCCTAGAAAACCTGTTGCGGGGATGTTGCACAGGGTGTCACATTTAGTTCATTGTTGTATATTGCATTAGGGAGCGAATCCGTGTTTTGTTTTTTTTATTTTTGCAATAGTCAAGTACTCAAGACATGGTCTCATGATCTAAGACAAGACAGTTGCAACACTTAATGACACGGATTGTACTTGAAATGTCTCTGAGCGGACAAATGAGTTAGGTTTGTATCATCATGAAAATTATTTAAATGATATAAATTTTTAGTATCAGCTTTTCGTATTCGGTCAACTAGTGTAAAAGTTATACAACTAAATCTTATTGAAATAGAAAAATAGTTTTGTATGCTTAGAAATTATTCAGCGTTACATATTCCAGGATATAAATTTTGCGTTTATTTTCTGTCTAAATCATTGTATGAAAGCTGCTAAAATACTTTATTAAAATTTGGGTTAAGATTAGTTTCAAAATATAAGTTAAAAAAGGTTAAAATTGATTATTTTTTTATTAATTTGTGAAGGGATGTTTGAATACTATTTGTATATACATTACCATCACTTTGGATATTGGATAATCAGATAAAATAGACATTGATTTATTTTGATTGGCCAAATTTCTTAGCCGAGTAAGTACACGTGTTACAATACGGAAAGTGTGTTAATGGAATTTGAAGGTGAATGCAATTTTTGAAGATCATAAATCAGTGCTCAAGGCTTTCATGGAATGTAGCCTTATAAGACCTCAATATGTATCAAAGGACTCCAAAATTTTGGCCTGCTGGTTGAGAAAAAATGTTCCGCAATCGTACTTCGTAGCACTTTGTGAGCAGAATCATACTCAAATATCAATATAATTGATAAATTAATAGTAATATAAGTAGAATGAAGACATTTTTCTATAAGTATATAGTGGATTTATTCCTAAAATATTTTTTTATAATTGTTATCATTTAAATAAAATACTAATTTATATAAAATAAACTTCCTTATGTTTATTTTCATCCTAAGAATAAAAAAAAATGAATAAATCTATTATAATTATTTAGAAAGATGTTATATCGTATATACACCATTCTTCAGTTTATTTAAAGTTTTATTTAATCTTTAGTGTAGAGATTATAATCATAAAATTATCGCATATCTAAATCAAAACAGATTTTTTTTTTTAAACTTGTTTACTGAAAAATATTACAATTTCTCTCAAAGGACATAAACCAGCTTATTAAAAATTTTAATCTATTTACTTTAGAATCTGTATTTAGAAAAGAATAAACATTTAAACAATATTTGTTTTATTATTTTACCAGCTCTTGGAATTTCTCTGCTGATAGCTAACGAATAATCTAGGCTTTCGATATTGTTAATACTGTTTTGGTATAGATTTGCGATATTATTAAGTGAAAAAAAATCTACATTATGATTACTTATATTGTATATCATGGGTTTATTGCAAAATATCATCGAGTAACATTTCAATAAATTAGATAACTGAAGATTTTGATGAAACCTCTCTCTCTGTCTCTCTGTAAAATCAGAATATCACAATATTCTGTATTTAGTGTAACTGTTTGTGATACATAAAAGGGTTTGTGTCATTTTAATGGACTCACAGTATTTTTGCACCGATCAATAAGGTCAAAACTGACAAATACCTAATTAATGACATTTTATTTATACAATTAAGATATCACCGGTTTATTGCAAAAAGTCATTAAGTGACATTTCATAACCTTAAGTAATTTGGAACTTAGACGAATTTTCATTTTGTGGAATAAGAAAACTGTGAAAATAGTGAAACTATATGAAAATAGTCATTTTCGTGCACTTCTAGTGTTTTTTTTTTTTTGTTTTTTTTTCTAGATAAATAAGGTCGAAATTCACAAAAAAGCATTCGAAATTTGATCAATATCAAATATGTACTAGGTGACTTTTTGCAATAAACCGACGATATGTAAATATAAAGGAGCTTTGATAATTATCATATATATTTATATTTATGATTTCTGATCGACCCTCTTGACTTTATATTTTACTATCTTTATACATAATAATTTTAATCTCAGATTTTCAGATGAAGTATTTATTTTAATACTTATTAACTGTAAATTGATTGAGATAAAATTATTTCAAAGCATTTTTAGTACATTATAAATATTTGTCCTCCTTACGAAAAACGAATATATGTACTTAAATTGTTATTTTTGATTTGATAAAAAAAAGTACCTAAATAATTGCTCTTAAATTTTTGTTTGTTTGTTATTTTCAATAATATTTTTAATTTTAATTATAACTAGCTTCCCTAACAAATTTGAATTTTTTTTTAACGTGGTCACAAAAAAAAAAAAAAAATCAAATTGCGACCTTCGTTATTATCACATGCTGATAAAGATTACTCAAAATTAATCAATAGTAGACAAAAAATATTATAACACTTTTGAGGGTTGAAATACTATTATACTCAAGGTCTTTGCCGTATTCTCGCACAATTAAAATAATTAATACTCTAATTATTGTGGGCTATCGCCTTGATTGCAAATTGATTAACTAACTTCCTCCAGGAAATGCCTATTTCAAATATTTCATTGCTTATTGTTCCTGATAGGAAGTTTTTATTGAGATAAATAATCTATCAAAACTTATAATTTATTATATATAATAAATTATATATGTCTTATTTTTATATGTAAGTTTACATAAAACATAATTAAGAAAACGGTACAATTATCGATGCTTATTCAATAGGATCCAATGAAACTTGAGGATTGTCTTTTTCTATTCTCCCCTATTATCCGTTTACGGATTACCCAATCGCTGAAATCATCGCTTCTCACTGTCACGCTCGAGTTGCATTACTTTAAGAACGATGCGATGCAAGTCAATCTAAATTTCATCGATACATTATTCGCTATCATTATAGAATTGATAGAAAATTAAGAGTTATATCGGCTCTTAAGTTTACGTAATAAGCTTAATACGAAACATTGATTCCACGTAATGGTTAGTATCATTAGTATATATATATATATGTATAATAGTTATAAACTTGATTTGTGGAACTACTATAATAATGAAAATTAATTATTTATAAAAACAAATTAATTAAAAGCTCTTGAAACACGAAAATCATTTTAAAGCTGTGGTTTTTTGATACCATTCTTTAAAAAAAATATTACTATTTAGATATAATTGAAAGATAATTTTAGGGAGTAGATGAATGCATATTATCCAACAAATTATAATAAAAATAAACAACTTAACTTCTTTCTTTAATTTTAAATTTCGCTTACTAATTTTTCCGATTTATGAAAATGTTTTTTTACTGATTTCTAATCATGCTTGCACGGAATTATCACCAGCTTAGCATATAAAATTAATTGTATTGGTTGATTAGCCATATTAATTATATTCCTATTATGAAAATTAGAGCATATTGAAGTGATTGTTTTATGTGAGTTAAAGTTTTTTGAAATTTATTTGTTTAATTAATCATACAGTTAAAGTACATATGAATATCTAATCACGAAAAATTTATTACATAGTTAAACAGCAGTGTATGGATTTATTTTTGAAAATTTTTACTTTAAAAATAAACATCCCTGAAATGATGATACAAAGAATTAAATGCGATGCATTTTGGTGTGTAAGTAACCATTCTCGTCAAAATATGTTATAGCAATGCTCCGATTATAAGATCAATTTTATCTTTTCGTTGTTGAGATCAACGCCAAAATTTATTCCAAATTCGTTTTGTTAAATTGAAAAAAAAATCACAATTACCAATGCAACGATTCTGATTCATTTTTTTTTTCGGTTGTACCGGATTCAAATAGATAAAAATCACAGATCACTTATATGTACGACTGACCTGTTCTTTTCTTGACGCGGGTGGATGTTGGCACTTTTGTAGCGCTGGCCATGAAGGCGAAGGCTAGGAGAAGTAGAGCCGTGGAGAGCCGCATGTCTTGCACTGACCGATGAAATGGGGAGACTGGTGGAGTCCCGGGGGCACTTTCTCGAGGGGCCCAGCGGGGCGGAGGGGGCAAGGTCGACCCCCTCTCTGAGTCACCGATCCATTCATAACCCTCCCTTGCCCCGTAGCCCCCTTCGTCTAGGAAGTCTAGTGTCATCCAGGATCCGGGGCCAAAGACTAGTCCCTTGATGCAGTTTCACTTTCGTCGGTGACATCCTTAAGCGATCAGTTAAGGTTGGGTGAAAATGCTCGACAAAGCCGTAGATGATGGATCGGCCTATCTTCTGAGTTGTCGAATTTTACGGGATATTGCTGATAGTGTATCGAGGAAAAGGAAACTTGTGCAAACAGGAGGTTCTCTAATTTAGTAACTATTATGTTGGTAAATTTTCGGTGGCATTTCGTACAGTAAAAGCCAAATATCAGTTATCATTCTGCGATCATATTTTGCGTTTCAACAAGTTTAGATAACCATCTTCTACCATTGGATGATAATGCTTTTTTGGAATCATTACTGTTAGCGATTAAGAGCTGTAGCCTGTGGTTATTATCATATCTTATAAAAACTGAATAAAAGAACAATTTTTTTTTCTTAATTAAACAATTAATTTTAGTGCAATAATCGTAGATTTGACACTTTCCCATGCAGATATTTCGTGACATTTACGATACTAATGATGAATATTAAATTGTCTACACATTATAATTAATAATCATTCCACTCCACTCTTTTACTTCACTAAAAACATTCAGGTCCATTAAGACACGATAAATCAGCAAGTACAAACATGAGGAAAATAAAACATTAAGAAATACCGAAAACATGTATAGTAGTAGAGGAAACACGATTCATGCTATATATTTCAATTGTAAAACAAAAATTACTACAAAAAAATTTTCAATTAATTATTTTCAAAAAAATTATTGTAAGATCATAAGTCTTTCGTGAAATGTACTTTAGGAAACGAAAATTATTTAAATTTCAAGGGTAAAGACAAGAAGCCGAAAGATGGTGGATCCTTATTTAAGTCACCGAAAACGCAACTTCAGTGATGATAGATTAAAAATTGTCTTACTTATAAAATGAATTTTTTTTTTCAAAAACATATCCTCTTTTTATCTCGGAAAATTATATTAAAGTCCAATAATGTTACTAACAAACAGAAATGAACCAGATAATAATACAAAATTTAATTTAATTATAAGATTGATGGGTTCTCAAGATTAAAGAATAATTATCACTCAACTTTTCAGGATTGCGCATTTCTTATCGATTGTTGTAGATTAAATGCAAAACGCGGCAGTTCATTTCTGGATTTCGCTCTAGCATTTGATTAGGTCTTTCACCAGGATTTCCTATTCCCTCTCTTTACATTGTATTTTAGTTTTCTTAGTTTGATATTAATTTAAAAATTATGAATGCAATCAGTATTAGCAACACTTCTTCATGGGTGTATACCATGATCATTACTATGCAATGGGCTTATACACTCTCGACATGTCTGAGAGTCATAACATCCCGACGGAAACTAATGAGGAATGTACGACAATCATAATAAGAGAACAAAGTCCGCCAAAGGTCCCATATCCATTAAAACAGTTTGAAAATCTACATGACTGATGTTAATTACGGAAGACAAGAACCACGACGAATACCAATACGCCATACCCACATATAGGCGTGAAACATACCCTCAAATATTCGATGAATGTTGCGTAAGATCAGTAAAATAGAGTGCAAAGAGGAGGAAGGCCTATCCTTAATTAAAATTGTAATATTCTTTGCATGCATGGCTGACAATTTTAATTTAAAATCATAAGAGAAGCTTTCTACTTAAGTTTTGTGCTAGCTTGAACTTATAAGATTGAACATCGCGTGTTTGAACTCACACCTTTCACACAAAAGCATTTAGACATATTACACAGGCACTTTGGTATATTACAAATACCACTTAACGTACTGACTTACGGTTAAATACCAAGATCTATGAAGCTTAAGATAAATTGAAGTGGCGGTAACTGAGTTCTTATGTTGTTATGATTATTTTAACGAATTGTGAATGTTCATGCATAAGGATTCTTGTTAAGACTAAAAGACTAAATGGAGCATCACTTGGATAGAATCAATCATAACTAAAACAATAGTCTGCAAGGAAGAGAATAGTTAATGTTTTTAAGGCTGTGAAGAGATATCCTGTATACCATTTCTGAATAACATCAATAAAGATCTAAAACCGAATGTAGTATGTTTTTTGTTTTATTTTTGACGAATTCTTTAAATATTTGAGGAAAAATGCGTTTTAAATATGTTTACATCAAATAAAAAGAAGATTTTTGATTCTTAGAGTACAAGAAACAGAACACAACAACGTATACATAATGATAATGAAATAATAATAAAAAATATTAAGTAATTTTTAAAGTTAATAATTTAAAAGTCAAATTAACTAATAACAATTAAAAAGAAAATTTAATGTATATTTGCATATTTACAATTGTAATGGAAATAATAAATATATTTTTCTCTTAAATATAATTTAGGTTGATTGAAATAATAAAATGGTAAATTTCTATGGTAATATTCGATATGTAATTGTAAAAAAAAGATCATACCGACTGCTGATGAAAGGATCACTATTTAAATAATACAAAATAATGATTTGAATATAATTTTTTTTTTATAATATATTTAAAAACGCAATAAAGGTTTGTTTAGATGAGTCTATTTAAAAATTTGGATTGAAAATCTTAAGATGTATTTAAAATTGATTGTTAATTATACAGGAAGTGATTGAATAGGCGGGATTGGAAGATCAGAAGATTATTGAAATGACAAATTAAAGAAGAAATGAAACTGCTAAAAAATGAGTAACGGATAAGGAAAGATCTGTTTAAAAATGGCGTATATAAAACGTAAGCCTGGACATGTGTTGCGGGGATAGACAGAGGATCTGAATTGAAGGAGTTCAAAAATGTAGGCTGGGTGGCGGGTTCGGATAACTTGAAAGAGCAAAGATGGCAGGAAATAAGCACGACATAAGAAAGGTAAAGCCACTTTTCATTAAATAGTGAGCCTGGTGACAAAGTTATTAGTCGATGTTATTTCCAGGAAAAAGTTTACTTCATGTTATTTAAAGACAGAAAATAAACGTTATTCTGGGACAAGGTTTCTTAAGAATAACAATTAAAAAAAAATACTGTATCTTGCCAAAAACTACATTAATTAATTATATAAAACAATATATAAAATATCTTCCGTAATAATATGTAAAAAACGGAAAGAAAAGCATTTTGGAAAAAACAAAACGTTTTAAAGATTTTGAGTTGATTTTTAAATCTAAAATTAAAACTTAAACATCCTGTATGTTATATAAATTCAAGTATATATTTGCGTATAATTTATTGATGAATTGTTCTAGTTTTTACAGAAGAAAATTAAGGAAACTTTAAAAAAAAAACTAAATGCACTTAGGACTCAAGGACTCAATATTTTAAAAGAGCCATAATAATGCACACATCACATCTAACAGATAACGTTAGGGTAACTGAAGTATATATATATATATATACTATATATATATATATATATATATATATATATATATATATATATATATACTATACTATACTATATATAATATACTATACTATACTAGTATATATATATATATATATATATATATATATATATATATATATATATATATATATATATATATACATGCTGAAACAAATTTTGACAAGAGTCTCGCAATATTGTGCTAATTGGATTACATTCTGAGCATATTATAAAATGGGATAGGGTTAAGGAGCCAAAGATGCAAAGATATATTTATTTCATTGCATGATATAATTGCAGTTTTTGTAGTTATAAATACTAAAACTTTTTTAAATACCTGTTGAAGACCTTATAATTAATTGTTCTTATAAAAAAAATACGTATTTTATTTTTATTCTGTTTATTTATGCACTAAAATTATCCTATTAAAAAAACATTCCTTAAACGATAAGACGATCCTTATCTAAATTTAATCTAAACATCCGAATGTTAATTTTTCAGATGATATTATTTGATCGACTCGTTAAATTCGGATCGAGGAATTTCATCTTGAATAAATAAGCGATTGGAATGCCATCTGCTCAGTTTATTGCAGGTAGGTCAGTGTTGGTTGGAAAAAGCTGGTCCTTCCTTATGAAGAAGACACCCTGTGACATAAGGTGTATGGTCTTCCTGTTCTTCGCAATGTGGTTAATAAGGGCGTTCTGGCTGATGAAAACTTTGCGCCGGGAAGTCATCTTGTGGGTTATCGATTTAAGGATTAGAAGATTTAAACAGGTCATGTTATGAAAGATCGATTAACAAAAATATTTACAAAAATTATAAACACGGGTAAGACGAGATAGAGTCGCGTTCCTCCAGAACTCATGGTCTAAATAATTCAAATGGTTCGTTTTCATAAATAGTACTAAAATCGTTAATGGGTGCAAAGTAAAATAAAAATGTACCTATTTCAGTCCATGATTAGGTATGGTAAATTTATGATGAATTATTTCCGAGTGGAGACTTTAACGCTGCATTGAAGTTTCTCTTAGAAAACGTCTTTAGCTTCATATATTTTAAATAAATTTATTGATATCATAGAAGTGTTATTATTTGAGATTTATCCTGATATAAATATATTTGTTTCATATCATTTCCCTTCATTTTACATGCCTCAAATGCTTGACTGCATAAACCTTTCTAATCTGTTGTTTTATTCTTTTTGGCAATTAGACATTCTTCTGAAGTATATTTTACAAGCAAAATCTCATAAGGAAGTTTAAGTTTAAAAACATCATTTCTATCTTTATAGAAATATCTTTTCATACTTGAATATTTAAAATTATTAAAAAAATATAAAAAAATAAAAATTTTAAATTTAAATTTTGATTATATTTTAATAATTTTTTTAAAAATATTATATATTATTATTGGCGCCAGCCGATATATTATACCAACTGGTTATTGTTATAAAATAAACTTGTTATTATTATAAAATAAAACCAAATTGTTATTATTATATAATAAACTTTATAACTCTAAAAATATAAATTCGATTTATACTCCTTTTGTGGTATAATTTAAAACAATAAATTTTATTAGCTTTATCTAAACAT